TACCTGCAATCTACATCTGGAGAGTCAGACTAAGTAGCTACCAGCTTTAAATATTTAGCAACTAAGACTCACGATGTGTGTGGTCTAATTAGCTTTACTTAGTGAAGCCAATGCAGAAGTAATTTAAACCTGCATTCTTACTAATAACCAACAGGGGGCGTTTGTTCTGGTTGCAAAATGGAGCCAGATTGTGTAGAAGTCTGTGAGAAAATGACTCTACTTCTAACTCGACTTGTTACCTGAGAAAACACTTTTCCTCATGAGTTTATGGTCTCACCTGCTAGTTTCAAGACTTTTTAAATACAGCATAGTGCTCATTGTCCCATTCAGAGGAAAACGGACAATAAATCAGGACTGCCTTGTAATTATCAAATTGTTAATAATTGCAAAGAGAAAAAAGAATCCTGCTAAACTTCAGTGTGTTCGCAGTGTTCAGCTCAAAGGCAAGTCAAAAAGTGAAGCACAGTGTCAGTGAGCTGCTGGTCTGGCTGCATGTCTCAGTCTTACTATCTTACACCTAAACCAAACCTCTGAGTTTGGCAGGATGAATATAGTGTGTGAAATTGCTGTTTTTCTTAAATTGTGTTTTACTCGTTCCGACCATGAAAAGACCTTTATGCAGCTGCTGAAGCCACTGACAGATCCCAGTGTTGATGTCTCATATTAAGCCCTGCTGGTGCTTCTGAAATCTTGAAGTCCTGTTAACAGCTTTGTCTGAAGGGTGCCATGTAAAATCATTTACTTTTAAAATAAACTCCTGTTCATCTTTGGAGCTGTGCTCATGAGTCATCTGTAGTGATGCAGCTCCATCTGCTGGTCAGCTCACAGCAGGACGCAGTTGTGTTGGTGCCTCACTGACAGACTGGGTGACAGCTTTAAGGAAACAAAAGCTACTAAAAGAATTAAATTTGTGGATTTAATTCTCTGTAAAACTATTTTAATAAAATCTTAGAATCAGATTGATTTATTGCCAAGTAGGCTTACACATTTGAGAAATCTGACTTGGTGTTAAAATAACAGTACAACAGTAACATATAGATACAAAACACAAAGTTAAATAGCAAAACAAGACCAAACAGAGGCAGCCATCCACGGCACCGTCTTAGACCTTAATGTGCTTATTTCTTTATGTTGACTGTCAAAGGAGGAAACTGCTGCCGTTATTGTCCGGTAAGATTTAGCAGAGAGGGTGACTGATTGATGAATTTAATTTACTTCCTTTCATTTCTCGCTCCTGATGACACCTGTATGTTCAGGTATAATAAATATTTATTGGTCTTCCTGAAGAGAACAGAGTTTATGTGCTTTAGCCTGAAGACAATCCACTTTATGTGTTATTGCTGATTGTATGATACTCCACTTTGTAACAAACTGCTCCTAATTTCTGATCAGTTCTTGTGGATTAAGTCTGATGAGAATCTTTAGCTGTGTTTTAGGAAGAGAAGCTTTGGTGTTGGGGTTAGCATGCTGGTAAAGTGGTACAATGCCAAGTTAAGATGTAAACCTGTAACTGACACACATCACACAGAAACACATAAAGCAGTGGGTAAGTTATTTTATATATCTTCACTTTGAAAGGGTTGAAAATCTCAGTTTGAGTGACCTAAATTGCTGTTTGTGTGAATGAGAGAATAATTTGGAAACAAAGAATCACACAAATACAAAAATCAGAGAAGAGGTTTAAAAAGTTGCAGTAAGAGCTGACTCCATTTATATTAAAAAGTAAAAAGTCAGACCAATCCAAAATCCTCCTAAAGTTTCAGCTTAAATGTTGCAGATCAGTTCAAGTGCCGGTGTAATACTCCAACTGTACACTGGAAGGCGCTGAACACCTAATATTCAGTGACACTCAGTTTAAAACACACTTAAAGGCAAGACTCTAATCACTGTTGATTGCTTACATTAAAACTTTTTTTTTTTTTTGGTTTGCAAATTTTCTGAAACATTGTTTTATTATACAAATGATATATTATTTCAGTACATGTGTGCTTATTTGCATTATTTTCTGGGATGGAAATCTAAACAATATAAATATAACAATATAAATATAAAGGCAGCTTCAAAGTTCTTGTTTCATTTTACTGAAACATTACAGTCACGTGCTCTCACAGAGGGGAAAATCAAGGGGAATATGTATGAATATACTTTCCTGTAAAAAAAACAAAAAAAACCTTTGGAACACAAACAGGAATGAAACTGGAATGTTTGGTGCAACTGAAATGGAGCTTTCTGGCTCAGAGTTCAGGAAAACCAACTTTAAGAAAAGGACTTTTGAAGATTTGTATAATAAAACTACATACATCTCTGTTGAAACACATTATTTACAGGTGGCAGTTTTAGATATCACCATGAAACCAGCTGATCACTGCAGTGTGCCCAACAGATAACTGTACTAAAATAAAGACCTACAAGTAAATGTGCTTTCTGGATGTTTCTTTACTTTCGTCTGACAGAGAACATGTTATGGAAGTAAAAAGAAAACTACGTATGATAGGATATTCCAGGGTAACAAATATAACTAAAAAGCAAACAGACAAGGTTTGGAAAATTGTTCCTGCTGGTTTGGAACAACCATGAATAATGTGGCTTTAGCTGAAGTTTGATGTGCATGAGGAGACTAGTTAGAGAAGCACTTCTTTATTGGATGTTTGTGAAATGTGTGTGGTTAATTAAAGTTTTTGTCAATAAACGTGGTTGTAATAAAAGCTGTAAATTCCTCCAGGATTATTTAAAATGTCCATATTTCTTGTTTTCGAATGGAGCAACATATTTGATCGTATGAGGTGTTAAAAAGTGACTGACAGCTGTGTCTCCTGATGGACCAAAGTGTCACCAGTGTGTGTTTTAGGAAACTAAAGACAACCATGAACAAAACTGCTGGATTGTTTCAGTAGAATATCTCATTATAAACAGGTGATGTACCTGAACTGTAAATCATTTATGTTGTGGTGCTTAATGCCACAACGATGAATGTGCTGTTTGTGCAGTTCAGGCTCGGATCAGTGCAGTTTACTGATGACTCCCCTCCTCCTCCAGCTCCCGCCCTCCTCCTCCTCCTCCTCCTCCTCCTCCTCTCGCATCCTCTCTCTCACACGGAGCTCGGTCTGTCCTCAAGCCACATCTCATCGGGCTCTACCCTGATCTCCAAGCGCTTCTGAGCGGCTGTGTGAGCAGAAACCTTACGGGACGAATGTGGACCTGCCTCAGAACCCTTCCCTCCAGCTTCCAGCTTCTACTGCGAACCATCTGAACTGTTCCTTTACGCTTTCCTGCCAAGTTTGAACAAAACTTTTCTTGTATCAGACTTTGGGTTTCTCCGGTGATGCCTCCGGAGTGGAGCCGCTCCGGGACGCACCCGAACAGGTGCACTACTTTTACTTGACCAAAGACTTGGTTAAAGCTGTTTGTGGACAAAATGAGGAGCGACTGAAAAATCAGTGGCAGTTTCAAGTTACGGTTTGCGCTCTGTTGGACTGATCATTACAAGGCAGAGATGGACCGATCGTTCTGGATCACACAGTTTCATGTCGCGGTTTAGACTAAATCAAGATGCGGTCTCCACCCCTGAGGCTCCTCTGTTTGTGGCTGTGCAGCGAGGCCGTCGCCAACCAACTCCACGGACACAAAACAAAGACGACTTTCAGTCCTCATTATGAATCCACCGCCGCTAACAGGAATGCGCAAAGCCGGACATGGCGCACAGTCAGCGGGGAGGACAAAGGGCGGACACACGGTGTGGCCTCGTGGCTGGATACTGTAAACTCGCCAGCCTCTGAGCTGCTGCAGACTCATAAACACCGGCGCTCTGTGCGTAAAAGTGACACTCAGAATGAAACTCGGTACAGCCAAACTGTACCCAAAAACAAAGCTTTACGCACGGGAGAAAACGGCGCCGATGAGCAGAGAAAAAGTAGATGCAGTCCGGGCGAAGTGCTCAAACAAACCCCGTATGGACCCACTTGCAGCACCAGGACGAACAGACACAAACGGCGCCAGAGGAGACGTGCAAAATCCAGCAGGGTGCGGCGAAGCGAGTCGCTGCAGGATGGAACCGGGGGCGCGTGGGAGGCGCTGCCCGTGGCCATGGCGCAGGAGCAAGACAGCGGACCCGCTTTCGGACTCAACACCAGCGACTATGAGGACGAGTACTCTCTACCGGACTTCCCCGACCCCACGCCATTCTCGCCGGGAAACACGCGGACCAGACGCAAGCAGGTGAAGAACCCCTTCTACCCGGTGACCGCGGAGTCGTACGGAGCGTACGCGGTCATGATCACCGCCGCCCTCATCTTCGGTGTGGGGATCATCGGGAACGTGTCGGTCATGTGCATCGTGTGTCACAACTACTACATGAGGAGCATCTCCAACTCGCTGCTGGCCAACCTCGCGCTCTGGGATTTCGTCATTATCTTCTTCTGCCTGCCGCTCGTGGTGTTCCACGAGCTCACCAAGAACTGGCTGCTGGGGGAGTTCTCGTGCAGGATTATCCCCTACCTGGAGGTGAGGGGGGAGGGGAGGGGAGGGGAATGGAGGGAGGGGAAGGAGGAGGAGGAAGGGATGCTGCTGGGGAATTGAGTCTCATGCGACAGGTGGGCGCAGGTGTTTATGAGGTGATGCATGTTGACGCATACAGTGTTTTAACCAAATACCAGCAATACAAGCAGACATAATATTCAGCTTCAGAATTCATATAGAAGACAGTAAAAAACAGGTTCATGTTTTTGTAACACTCAAAAAAAGCACTGAAGCCGGCGTTGCTCGCTGCAACCATCCCTTCTGGTCATACTGGATAGTAAAGCATTCATCAGAAGTGACTCAAACTGCATTTAAATTAGAGAGGGGCCTGCCCTGGACATTAAAATATGAACCAGGAAGTCCAGCTGGTGTGACAGATGAGTGTGTTTAAGAACTGATCCAAAACTAACAGGCAGGACTTTGTGCAAAATGAGCACAGCTGCAACTATTTTATCTTCAGTAGCAATCCTCCAGAATGTATGGATGCAACCGGCCAACATATTGTTTCCATATGATGTCACACAAAGTTAGGCTCACAATTTTGTTGCAGTCTCGGCCTGCAGTGACATAACTTGTCTACGTGGCCTAATGTGTCTCTGTTGAAAGTGATGGAGGACAAAATCCTTCTACAAAAACACATCTCAGAGTTTGTCTGAAGCTAATATGAAGCATTAACCATCCAGCAGCATGACTTTGGAAGATCTCCGTGAAGTTCCAAGCCAAAGTTCTCCAGTTTCAAGCCTGCACTTGACATGCATTTTTAATACATTGCTGAACATAGCGTGGGCTTTTGGAGCTTCCAGCATCAGCGTTGAGCCTGTCCTCCCATAAAAACCCTCATAGGTGCGCCGCTATAGCTCACCTGGTTGAACTGGCGTGCCATGTGTAGGGTTACAGTCCCAATGTGGAGGTCATGAGTTGGAATCCCGCTCATGACCCTTTCCTGTACATCCTCCCCCCCATTCTTCTACCCACTTTCCTGTCTCTCTCCTTCACTGCACTATCGAATAAATGCACAAAGGCCAAAAAAATAACTTTAAAATACCCAGTTTGTGAGTGCAAACTGCTTTCAACAATCCAGTCACATGTCACTGTGACAGCCCTCTCTAGTGGCCATAGGAATTGTGATGTGAGCAAAAGATGAGGTGAGAAGCTAATAGAGCCACTAAGCTGGTGTAGGCAGGAGGTAGATGGATGGGCACTGGAGTCCTACATGGTGGACCACTCTTCATTTTCAGCTTGAAATCAGCATTTCTTTTGAGCTTGATCATCACATAATCGTAACTGTGTGTTTATTATTATAATCACAATAATGAAGGTCCTATACTTTAACCCAAACCCCGACCTTTCCATATACCTGACAAAACAGACCAAACATATCTTTGCTGTATGACACTCTATGGATCATGTTCAGAGACAAACAAATAAATCTAATAATGATTAGATAACAATTAAAAAACATAGTTTACAGTACAAATATGAACACGTGAACAGGACACATTGGAGGAGAATCAGGTGGACAGTCGCTCCAGACTGCAGTCAGGATTTAAATCAGGTTTAATGTTGCTAAAGGGTTGTTAGGGTTGTTAATCTGATCAGCGTCACATCAGACTGCAGAAAACAAGCTAACACAAGCTGAATGTGTGACATCCTGCTGTCCAATCAGAGCGAAGACTGAGATTAATGAAGGGTCTCTCACAATGAGATTAGAGGTAGCCTCCCCCCTCTGATCAGTTTAAACAGGACGACAAGTTCTGAGATTAGAGCTGGATGTATTCAGACCACTTGTTAATTTAACTTCGGTGGATCACATTATTGTCGACACTCGTTTGTGTCCTTTTGGTTTGACAGGTTTTTGTTTTTTTTCCTAATTTGAGCCTCTCAGTTCAAATCAAAGGGATCAATGTGTTTTAAATCTATTGATCGATAATGTAAATATTGGCAGCAGATCAACATGTTTGCAACTGTTGCCAAAAGCTTTGTTATGTCCAGTTTGTAACATCAGGAAACAGAAGATCATATTTACTGTGTTTAAGCCTCTTAGCAGCATGCAGCTTTCTTTGTCTGCAGGAATGACCTACATGACAGTAATGACATTTAGTGACGACATCAGCTGTCTGCTTTTAATTGCTCTCTTACTTATGTGTTGGTGTGCGCCGTCCTTCAATTTAATTCCAAATGAATTTAGCAAAAAGAACAACAATAATGCAGTTAGAAACATATTTGAAATTCTACATTTATGAAATTATTCAGGAAAAATAAACATTTTCTTCTTAGCTTCATAACACCAAAGAAACAATTGAATCTGATGTTAGATATGTAAATATTGTACTTCTTGCTTGGTCTTTAATACATCCAGTTCAAAACAGATGTATATAAAATAGGGCTTCCAGCTCATCTGAGGTCAGTGCTGCTGCTGCTTTAACTGTTTAATGGACTGTAATCACACTAAACAGCAGGAGGATTAAATCAGAGAACTACTGTGATGAGCTAACACTCAGCACACACAACAACAACAACAACACAGCCATGTTTCCATCACTTCAGAGGTCATTACATTGACTTATATTAATTCATGTAGACCTTAAACCTAACTGTTACTACCACCTGTCTGAATTTGAACACATCCTTAACCCCAGTCTTCATACTAAAATTTGAGTGAATGAACACCATTACCCACAAGCCCACAGCAGTCCAGTCTTGCATAAAGTGTAACAGCTTTGCTAAGCCACAGCGCAAAAATGAATAATCTTTGCAAAAAAAAGGCTGTAAAATTGTGAGAGGCTACATTTTTAGGGGCAACTTAGAAAACAACCAGAGCATCTTTCTTTCCGCCTAAAGCCAAATATTCACAGCTCTGTTTCATACAATGAGATGTTTGTAATGTGTTGTTGAAAGGTGTATTTTAACCCAAACCATAATCTTTCCCTTACCGTAACCTAAGTAGTTTTGGTGCTTAAACTTCACCAAGTATTTCTGAAGCATTACCAAAAGCAAGCATGAAGCTGCAGGATGGGCCTACATGGGTCTCCTGGCTGAAAGCCCTGCGGTCCACACCACCACCACCACCATCCCTCCAGCACACTCTGTGAACTTTGTCGCTGTTTTGACATATAAAGTGAAAGAAACTTCCGAGTAACATGGCGTGGACACAGGCCAATAGAAAAAAAAAAACATGCCAGAAATTAGTATTTTTTTATTTGTGAGACTAATTATTTCATTTGCACTGTGAAGAAACGCTACGATTGCACATGTTGTTGTGAGACTGTTGGACGCTGACTGCACTGTTTATTGGATAGCAGACTGACAATCTGTGGCCATGTTCATGTCATGTTGGAGATACTATCATTACCTGTTTCTTTCTTTTTCACATCAACATGCAACTCATAATGCAACTGAAACCTTTAAGCTAAATAATTTGCTAAACATAGAGTTTTATTCTCTTTGCACAGTATTTTTGACCCTCACAACCAACTCTAAGTGTGTTTCTTGTTGATTTGTATATAAAAAAAACAACTAAAGAAACACTTAAATAGAATGTTTGGGATAAAAATAAAAAACTAAATCTGATAAAGTGCCATGGGAAAAGATTTAGTGAATGAGTTTTGATGTACATCATGTGACTTGACTGAGGAGATGAAAAATAGCCGCAAACTAAAACATCAGATCTCTTGCATTAATTTTTTTAAAGTTCATGCCCAGTGGTGTAAATGATCACAGCTGGTAAACACAGATGTGTGCTACAATATTTCCATTTCTGCCATCCATACTAAATGATAAGCATGTGGCATGAGGCCAGACGCGGGCCGAGCTACAAGGAAGAGCTACATCATGTTGACGTTTTTAGACAGCAGAGGTAAAGTGTTGGACATAGAACCTGAGAGAGAGGGTGGGTAGATATAACTAATACAGCAGAGACTGTCTGTCTGACATATAAAACACAGTGGAAAAACCTGTGGTTATTCCTGACGCCCATTATCAGCACTAACCTCTTTTGGGTCGGTCCGATAGCACCCTGATACAGTGTAGTAGTAAATGTGTTTTTGCACCCTTTGATATGCATTTCTTGACCTTATCCTGAACCCATAACTGCCTGTTGTCCTTCATACAGGGGTTTTTGTCCAGAGAGTTCACTTTACGTCACAGTGCTGCAGGGTAAAGGAATATTACCCTGGGAACTCCAGTCATGCTGTATTTTAACCTATTAGTTCGTTAAAGTAATATTCAGATCACCACTTTCATTTCTGAGGTTACGTTTTCAGTTCATTTCTCTAAAAATCTAACAGCTGAAACTTTAAGGTTGTTGCAGTACATTAGTGAAAATCCGTCACCTGCTTCATGTTATGCTCCTCCTTATTCTTCTGCCCCACAAAGCAGCAACTGCAGAGATGAGAGAAAAGGTTAAATGCTGCCTAAGAATTAATCTGTAAAACCAGTTTAGTGACTTTACAGGTGGATTATTGCTCAAATAGGAAAAAGACACAATTCAATCCTGCACTCTATGTTTGAACTGTGCAGAAGACATTCAGGATAGGCCAGTTAGAGTGAGCATCGTTAGCTTCATGACATTATTGTTACCATAGTTACTTTAGTTATGCCAAATAGCAAATTCATCTTGTAAACTGTTAGATTGTTTAGTTGAAAAAAAGGCAAAGGCTCGCTGGGACAGCACTCAGACAGCTGGGGTCCAGTCTCTGTGGTTTGTTTTCACCTCTTTTTTTGCACAAAATACACACTTTCTTAATAGAAATGACACATTTATGAAATGCCGTATCTGTGCAAACATAACTTATTCATAATTTTGTTAAAAAGCAAAACAAACACACAAAACAAAGATATCAAAATGTTCTCTTCTGCTTAATTTTTCCAGAATAAGTTGAAGAACTTTTAACCTGATTTACTCTCTTTTTGTCCAGGTGGCGTCTCTTGGGGTCACGACCTTCACACTGTGCGCTCTGTGCATCGATCGTTTTCGCGCCGCCACCAACGTGCAGATGTACTACGAAATGATCGAGAACTGGGCGTCCACCACAGCAAAGCTCGCCGTCATATGGGTGGGCGCTCTGCTGCTCGCGCTGCCTGAGCTGCTGATCCGACAGCTGGTCACCGAGGACGGCGACCCGCCCGACGTGACGCCGTGTGAACGCTGCGTGGTCCGGATCTCCACTGAGCTCCCGGACACACTGTACGTCCTGGGACTCACCTACGACGGCGCACGTCTCTGGTGGTACTTCGGCTGCTACTTCTGCCTGCCAACACTCTTCACCATCTGCAGCTCGTTGGTCACCGCTCGCAAGATCCGCCGCGCTGAGCGGGCCTGCGTCCGCGGAAGCAAGAAGCAGATCCAGCTGGAGAGCCAGATGAACTGTGCCGTGGTGGCGTTGGCTATCCTCTACGGCTTCTGCATCATCCCAGAAAACATCTGCAACATCGTCAGCGTGTACATGGCAGCCGGCGTTCCCAGGAGAACCCTGGACATCCTCCATCTGGTCAGCCAGCTGCTGCTCTTCTGCAAGTCTGCCGTGACGCCTGTGCTGTTGTTCTGCCTGTGCCAGCCGTTCACCAGAGCCTTCCTGGACTGCTGCTGCTGCTGCTGTGATGAGTGCGGCCCTCCTCGCTCCCCCACCACCGCCACCAGCGATATCGACAACGAGTGCACCACCACCGAGCTGGAGCTGTCGCCGTTCAGCACCATCCGCAGGGAAGCATCCACCTCCGCGGCCTACTCTGTTGTGGGAACCCACTGCTGAGGTCAAAGGTCAAACATGCTTCATCTGACGTGAGCAGGAACGTGATCAGTGGATATACCAGGATGTTGTTTCCTGATCAAACCAAACTGTTGAACTGTTTACTGGCGGAGAGACTGAAGACGCCACTGTCCGTCCATTCACTGTTTACAGAGTTTCTATATTTGAAAGAAAATACAGTCAGTATTAGTTTTTGGCAATATTTTAGTTTTTTTTTTTAATTAACTCACCAGTATTTTTACTGAATCTGCACTCGGTTGTACTTTTTGTTTATTGTCACTGTGTTTTATAGAAGCTGAGAGCAGACATGGCTGCTGATAATTTTTTCATCGTGTGACAATACGACAGTAGAATTGGGTCAGCTTTATTTTATGGGTTGTAACTTGTGTTCCAGTGTTAACTTTACTTTAAAAAAACTGCTACATTTAAACCCAAAACATTTTTTTTAAATACACTTTTTTCTGAAAACTATTTTCCAAGTAATTCGGGCCAAACTATGTAGAGTTGAAAACATTCATGTAAATTACTAGAAAGCTGCAGACCACAAAGATAAAGCGTTATGTTCAATGTTTGTAACGAGATAACCTACTTAAAAAATTATCTCCAACCACGGCTGCTATCACATTCAGGTTTGTTCTTCTGGATGTCCCTGTTGGTTTTTCCTTTCTTTCTTTGTGTGTCAGACGTACAGTAATATATCCAAAATGGCTGTTGACGCTGTGTTGTGTTTGTCGTGAATCACTTCTGGCTGTATGAGTATTTCTTTGTTGTGTTTGACAGCAGAAATCTCTGCTCAGCCTGTAACGTGATAATGTGAAAGTCTTTTTTTGGTTTGTTTTTTTAGCCACAAGAAAAGTGTCACTTTCATTAAAGAAAAATATTTTAAAATAGATCTTTTTGAATGCTGTTTTGAGTTTAAAGAGCTGATGTATTTGTGGGGTGAACCAGCTCACAGTCACTTCAGTGTGGTCTCAGAACAAGAGGGCAGAAACTAAGTGAGGACTTTTTTTTTTGGAAAAATCATAAGCAAATGGGAACAAAATCCTAAAACTTCATGGTAGCACTGACAGAAACGAGGGGAAATGTGAGACAGAAAATTACACCTCTGACTAACAGTATGCCATCAGTGTTGATGCAGTCTTTACACGTTATAATTCAGACCAGTCAAGTTTGAAAAACTGTATATATCATAGTCTATGTTTTAAACGACAAACTGTGCCTACAGACCTACAAAAGTGTTTCCAAACTGCTGGTATAATGACTTCTACTCCTCCATTCGTGTCAGTTACATCCAACAAAACCCAATATTACCACTAAGAACAACAGTGTGTTTGGTTTAAAATGAGCTATGCACTGTTTATATCAGCTTTCACTTCATAATGAACGACTCAGTTTAAAAGTCTTCTCAGGCTTCAGAAATAAACTTACTGGCCAGCTTTATCCTTATAGTCTATCCACAGACACAAACCCTAACTGAACTAACACCCAGTCACACTAACCCTTTCATACCTGACTCGTTCCCTGATGTGAGAGAGCTGAAACAGTGCTTCACTGCATACATTTGAAAGTTCCACAATTCCAAATCACATGTTGAAAATGGGGCTGCAGGGTGG